AGGCAAACCTCTATCAATAATTCATGAATAACAGTCGTTAATAATAACTGCCAACGTCTGAGAGCTGACTGTTCTTCAATCAACAGATATCTACCAAGCTTCTTTTCCTGACACCAGATCTACGGAGAGATAGACTATGGGGTGGAAGACAGAGAGGGCATGACTCCTAGGTTTTTGTCCTGAGCAACTAGAAGGAGATGGGGAAGACAGTGGGAGAAGCAGATGTGGGGCAGAAGTAGATTAGAGCTCATTTTTGAACATGTTAAGTTTGAGGGATCTATTAAACATCCACAGTAAAGTATTAAATAGGCTTCCTATGGTTCAGGGAGGAGGTCCAGCCTGGACTTAGGTTTCTCAGCCTTGGCTCTACTAACACTTTGAGCTGATAGTTCTGGGGTGGGTGCCGTCCTGTGCACAGCAGCATCCCCAGCCTTCACCCATTAGATGCCAGTAGCACTGGCCCCCCTATTTGTGACAACCAAGAATGTCTTCACACATTGCCAAATGTCCCCTGGCAGATAAAATCTCTCCCAGTAGAGAACCACTGGCCTAGAGATATACATTTGAGAGTCGTCAGAGTAAAGCCTCAACACATGAGGTCACACAGAAAGTGAGCGCAGATAAGAGCCCAGGGACCTCCATCACTAAGAAACTGGGGAATGAGGAAGAACCAACAGAGGAGATGGGGAAGAACAGCCAGTGAGTAGGATGAAAACCAGGACACTATGTCATTCTAGAAGCCAAATGAAAAAAGAGATCAAAGAGAGGGCAGTAATCAATGCTGCTATTCAGTCAAATAAGGTGAGAGCTGAGAACTGGCCACCAGAATTCTTTTTTTTTGCCAGGCCCCACGTTTAGTGCTCGTATGAGGTCTCTGTAGTCACAGTCATGGATAGATGTGGGCAAGATGCTAATATTTCTGTGCCTGTTTCCTACCTCATTATCCTAAAGTTTCAAAGATATCATGGATGTAACTGGATTAGTATAAAGTTTCTTATACAGGCAGACCTTGGAGGTACTGCAGGTTCAGCTCTAGACCACCGCAATAAAGCGAGTCTCACAATAAAGCAAGTCATGATCTTTTTGCTGATCGGGGGTGAGGGGGGGCCTTAAATTTGTAAATAATGCAACATCCATGAAGCACAATAAAACTAGGTATGCCTGTGGTCATCACCACTACCAACTAAATGTCATATATAATAAATATTGCTATTAATCTCCAAAGCAATGCTATGAAGGAAGCATTATTTTCCCCACTTCACAGATGAGAAAATTGAGGCACAGAAAGGTCGTGACTTGCCCAAGATCACACAGTCGGCCATCTGCAAAGCCTGAAGTCTAAACAAAGCAGTCTTTCCACAGAGCCTGTGCTCCTAATGAGAACATGCTGCCATCTTCACGAGCGCTGCCTATGTGCCTGGCGCTGTGTGGAGGTCTACCTCAACTGTAACCTCAGATCTACCCTAGGAAGTACAGTTATTATTCTTAATATCATCACCAATTTGCAAATGAAGAACTTGAGGCTCAGAAACACTGATATACCCAAGGTCACGCATCTGGATGATGCTGACGCTAGAGAGCCCCTGCTTTTGACCACGAGGCCATTCTGCTTCCCAGCACGGTGCTGGGACCCAGGGATCTGGCCCTCCAGATACTTCTGAGATGTGATCTTCATTCAGTCTACAATAACCCCGTCTAGCACAAATATAGCCTACTGTGCCTTCACACCCCAACTCCCTCCCCCCCAGATAGAAAAACTCCAGCTTCTAGCTCCCCAAGCCACACTTCCCAAGATATATCTGTCCCCACAACCCTCACCCTAGCTTCTTGAGCCCCCACCTTTTACCTCCTCACTCATGGGTTCTGGAGGGGGATCTGGCTCCTCAGAGCCCGCCGTGATAGCCATCTGCAGCAGGCCTTGGAGGCTGCGTGGGGGCGGGTGATTGCCCGTGCCCGCCGCCGAGGAGCCGCTGCCGCCTGATGAGCAACCCTGGGAGGCTGGGGGCAGCGCCAGCGGGAGGCGACTGCCCCCCGAGCCTTGGTCCGCCATGAGCTGTTTGTGAAGAGAAGAATATGTTGGGGTAAGGGTGGCCACCGCTGAGGTAGCTCTGGCGTGCTGGTGGATAGACTCCTGGGGGGGTCTGCTGGGAAGGTGGCGTTTTAGGGGAGCTCAGCGGTCCCCCGTGACACCGAACCGCTTTGCCCATACCCTCCCTAACCACGGTCCCCTTTCCTTCCTTCATACCAACCGAACCCTTGCCCAAAGTCACAAGCCCCGCCTTCCTCGCTAGCAACAGGCCCCACCCACTCTCCGTAGCAACCTTGCACCCCCCCATCTCCACTGCATGCGTCCCCGTTTCTTAGCAACCCCATTGCCCTGCCTCCAGGGCAACTAGCCCGCCTTAGGTCGTCTAACCAACGAATCTCCTCCCTCCACTCCTAAGAGAGGAGTCAGACGGGGCGAACCTCACCTCTCCAGACCTCGAGTCGCCGCCGATACTAAAGACAGAGTCGCCCGCACCTGCCTCTGGTGGGCGCCGCCATCTTGACCGGAAATACGCACGGTCTCGCCCGGAAGTTCCGATTTCGGGCCGTAGCTTGGGCTGAGGCTCTTGCCTTGCACTTAAGCCCTTCCCACCTGTTCGTATACGGCCCTCGGTCACGCCCATCACGTAGGCTCCGCCCCCGACGGCTGCTCAGTCTAGGCCCCGCCCCCTTTCCGGGTCCTACACCTCAATGAGCCCCGCCTCCTAATTCACCTTGCAAGCTCCACCCTTCCTGGTGTACGCCCTGCTCCTCCCAGGTCTGACTCCGCCTCAGGTGGGCCCCACCCACATCCATGTTACCTGCCCCCTATAAACTCTGCCCCACCCCGCCACTTCAGGCTCTGCCCCTGGGCTTTCGGCCTCTCCCTATTAAATCCGCCTCTGTGCCGGTGCGCCAGCCGCTCCCGGTTAGACCCCGCCCCTAACATGGCCCCGCCCTTTATGTCACCACACCCCTTCTTGGTCACACTCCGTCGTCGTGGATTGTGCGGGTCCCTCACCTCCAGACCTTTTACCCTCCACCTGAGCCCCCACCCCATCTTTTACACGAGCCCAGGGTTTTCACCCCTAATATATGGCCTGAGCAACCTTTGACCCACCCCACCCCTCCTCTTGGCCTCAGTTTCCACATTCGTCAACAGGGGCTTCCTGTTCCCCACCCTGCAGTTTCCGTGCAGACCTCTCTTATCACTCCCTTCTTCCTCGTGGAAACTTCCCTCAGTCTTGCCAGGCTTAGGGAAGGGATTCTTGAAGCAAAATGCACAGGTGATGTTGTTTGGGAAGTTTGCTGCCTCCATACACCAGATTTGGGGCTCAGGGCTGGGATGAGCCTCTGCAGTCTTGGTCTGCAGAGGTGTTTGCTTTGGGCTGGGCTTAAGGATATCCTGGCTCTAGTCTTCCATTAAAGGCTGGCCCCCTCTAGAAAAATGTAGTCAGCTTCAGGTGGGGCCCACAGTCTCAGATGTATTGAGCTGCTAGGCCTGGATGTGCAAGGTGATATTTTGGGCAGAGATGGAAAGACAAACAGGCTATATGTGCGAGTGTGTGAGTGTGTGGTGTTTGTAGTACTGTGGAGGATAGCTATCAGATAGGGGTCTGGGCCCATTGGTACTCTATTGTATGTTTCCTATGTCTGCTTTTAACATATTACAAAAAAAAAAAACTTAGTGGCTTAAAACAACACAGATTTATTATCTTATGGTTCTGGAGGTCAGAAGTCCAAAATGGGTTGCGGACTTGTGGACTTGTGCTGGACTAGAATCAAGGTGCCAGTAGGACTACGTTCCTTCTGAAGGCTACAGCAGAGAATCTGTTTCCTTGCCATGTCCAGCTTGTAGAGACCACTTGCATTCCTTAGATTGTGGCCACATCACTTTGACTTCAGCCTCTATCATCCCATCTCCTCTGACTCTGAACCTCCTACTTCCCTCTCTCAAGGACCCTGGTGATTACATCTAGGACCCACCCACACAACCGAAGATCATCTCTCCATCTCAAGATCCTTAACTCAATCACATCTGCAAAGACCTTTTTGCCATGTAAGATGTCAAATTCACAGGTTCCGGGAATTAAGATGTGACATCTTTGGGGCCTCTCGTTCAGCCTATTATATCTATGTACATGTAGGTACAAGTCTATCTTATCTGTCTAATATATACATACTTAATTATACATAATACCATATAATGTATGTACATGTAACATGTAACCGTATATCACATAGTGTTTGTGAACATATGTGTAATATGATAGTAGCCTACATGGTGGTCCCAGGTACTCTACAAAAACCATAACCTTTACAATGATCTGTATGTAGGGTAATCACATATTTTCCATTTAGAGCAAGAAACTTGAGAGTGAAAACGGACCCTATTAATAATTACGAATACCAGGCATAAACCAAGACTTCTAAGGCCCAGTGAAATCTGCTTCATCACCTCTTTTCATCTCAGTCTACATCCTAACTCCCCACCAGCCACAATGACCCCTTCAGTGTTCCTAAAACCTACCAGTCACCCTCCCACACAGAGACTTCATGCTTCCTGTTCCCTCTTGGCACTGTATCTAAAATACTTTGCTCAACAAACACTTCCTGTCCCCCTTCCCTGCTTCAGTCTCCTCTTTAACATTGATTACAACTATATAATAGACCATACATTTTGCCCGTTTATCTTGTTTGATCATTTGCTTCATCCACTAGGATGGGAGCTCCATAGAGCAGGAATCTGTTGGTTTGGTTCACCTCTGTGCCCTTACCACTTGCAGCAGTGCCTAGGTCAGACTTGGCACTCAATAGAGGTTCATGGAATGAAGGTGGCTGACCAAGAGACTAGAGGCTCATGTGTACACTCTGTAGGGGATTTGGGGGTTAGACTGATGCCTCACACCTTTGAGTACCTGATATAGTTGAGTCCTGGATGGTGTGAAAATCTAGCTGAGCACAGATCCATGAATGTGCTATAGTGGGTACATATAATTATATCGAGGCCCACGTGTGGATCTAGGCACAGAGAATACACAGGGGTCTAATAAAATGTCCAGGGACCTCAAGGGGTTTTGGAAGTTTCTCCATAAGAGCATGAGGACCCTAAATGGAGATATGGAACCAAGCTGATCTGAAAACATGTGTCCTAGGCTGTGGGTGGATATGGGTAGAGAAAGGATGCTGGTAGAGAAAGAAGTCCCAGGTGGGTGGGCTTGGGGGCCAGAGGAAACAGGTGAGCAGGGTCGGCAATCCCAAACTTCCTTCCTTCCCTCTGCCTCTATCTCCATCTTTCTGTGCCCCTCCAATCTGTCCCCATCTTCCTCAGCATCTAGCCTTCCACCTATGTGTACTCCCCTTCTATCCCTGTCTCTGCCCCTCTCTCTCTGTAGCTTTCTCTACACTTCCCTGTTTCTCTCCAGCTGTTTTCTGAACCTCCCCCCGTCACTTGTCCATTTTTCTGCCCCTTCTCAGACTGGCTCTTTGCTCCTTTCCCACCTCTCCGTCTTTCCACTTCCTCTCCTTTTCTGTTTTCCTGCAATTCCTTCCCCATCTCCTGTTTCTCTGCTCTCCATTCCTTCCTTCCCTCTGTCTCTGCCCATCTCCATCGTCTCCGTATCCTGCCTCTGCCTATCCTACCTGCCCCAGCCCCGGATCTGGTCGCCTCCACCTCTCTTGTTGCCACCTCCATCTCTGTGTGGGACTCCGTCTCCCTTTGTGCAGCTCCATCCTTGCCGGGTCTGTCTGCTCCTCATCCTTCTCCCTCCATCCTCTCGCGTCCTGCATCCCTCCCTCCCGGCATCCTCCCACCTCCTCGCCATCCCTCCAGCTCGCAGGCCCGCCCCCTGCCCCACTCCCCCTCCCTCTGAAAGGGTTAACTTTGGGGAAGGGCCGGGAGTCCCCGGATGGTGATGTCAGCGTGCCGAAGAGAAAGGACGAGGTGGCGGGGGGAGGCGGAGAGGAGGAGGAGGCGGAGGA